GGCTTGCCCAGGGACACCATAATAATCAGCAGCTTGATTCAAATTCCTAACCCTCTGACTACAAGTCAGAAACTGTAACAACTTGGTCCATGCATGAAAGTGTCTCACAGTGTACCAAAAATGATAATTTAAAAACCCAGCAAACACAGCAAAGGGAACGTACAGTGGCTTAGAACACCAACCGCCATTTTTGTTTCTCTCACTTTTGTAGCTTTGTTAGCATTTCTTGCCATGCACTCGCTCGTGAATACCGATGCTGACACAGAGAGTGATGCAATATTCGACTCCTCATCAGCAAGTGCGGCACATCCACTGTCATTTGACTCCGGTCTGTGCCACTCTCACTTCATTGCTTGCTTGAACACCCCCCATGTCCGAAGCCCCTCCCCCAATGTCCTAAACCCCTCCCCCAGCCCTTCCATTCACAGTGTGTATGAAAGTAGTCAACCTGTTCAGTTTGCATTGCGTGTGCAGTTGCTGTTATATTCCAAAAGTTACATCCAGTACATGTAGACAGTTGAGTAATATTGTAACGCTGGTCTAAGACTGTGCCCAATATTCAAATATTTGAGATATATTTGAGTATTGAATATTCAAATATCCCCTTTTATTATTTGAATATTCAGAAATGAAATGTAGAACAATAGGTGGGGAAATGTAGCATTCCGTAAATAGATCAGGGTTGCATTTATGTTTTTGTTTTGTTTTTTGTTTTTGGTGTGGTTTTATTTTTGTTTAATTTTGTTTTTTTGCTGATACCTTTAAAAAAATCTTTTATGCTACCAGAAGTAGTCCACAAAAATCAGAAGCAGTTAGACTGATTATGTTTTATAATATTAGTACACATTTTAAAACTTTGTTACTGCTTTATTGACCCTAACTTCCCCATGTTTTCCTTCCAGTAATACTGCATATTCAAATATCTGATAAACTGGAGCTATGAATATTCAGATATTTGTATTATTATTCAAATTGGCTCAGCCAAACCATGCTCACTGACATCCCTCACATTGCATTGACTAGGTCACAGTCACGGAACAAGTTTTTTTTTGTTTTTGTCTGTCATGCTGCTATGTACATTTGTAACTGGAATCCCCCCAGCCCAAAACAGTTAGTAAAGCTAGCTTGGAGTTAATGGTAATTTGTAAAAGTTTCCTTTCTAGTCTGAATGGCGCGGTGCGCGAACAAGAGACAGCAGTTTTTTTGTTGACTGCTTTCTACTAGCACAGTGGACGGAACACACATATGCCACGAAGAGCGCACAAGTAACATTAGTGGGGTCTGCTCATAAGTCTGTCACATCATAGGTCCGACGCCTCATAAGTCCGAAATTTTGGACTTATGAGGTGTCGGACTTATGAGGCATAAAATTTATTTATTCCGCCTCATAGGTCCGACGCCGCATAAGTCCGACGCCTCATAGCTCCGGCACCACCGTCAGAAACAGCGTTTGTCCATTGGTGGACTTATGAGGTGTCGGACTTATGAGGCATCGGACCTATGAGGCAGAATAATGCTTCATAAGTCCGACGCCTCATAAGTTTGAAATTTTGGACTTACGAGGTGTCGGACCTATGAGGTGTCGGACGTATGACACGGCCCCATATTAGTCTGTATATGGGGAATTCCACGGTTGCTGTAATTACCTTTTTAATACTGAAAAGGTTTAATAACTGTTATCCCCATGGTAGATAGAGTAGACCTAGACCTGCGTTACATTTTCGTAACGTGAGTAACCAATTTTGTGCGTCTTGTTTATCATACATAACACATTTTTCTGGATGTCGTCTTTGGTGCTTAGGTAGGTCTAGGTCTTCTCTATCTACCATGGGGATAACAGTTATTAAACCTTTTCAGTAAGGTAATTACAGCCCAAGGAAACTCAAAAGTACATCAAAAATGTAACGTGAGTAACCGTGGAATTGCCCATATGCACAAAGCCATAGCGTGAGCATGAGCGTTAGACATAATTGTCGAAAATGCTTTGGAATGTCTCTCACAGTGGTCTCCCCCAACTCTCCTTTTCTTACCGTTGAGGGGGTAGTTGTGCACAGAGCCCATTGAAGGGAAACCCCTGGGAAGATGCTCAAGGGCAACCCGTGCAGTCATGGTCCGATTCCATAGAGCAGCTAAGACCAAAACGAAAAAGGAAAAAAATCCTTAGCTATATTTATTAGAACTAGTTACAGGAAATTTTAGTGGGTTATCTGTTTCTGCTTTTCTATTTTGCACAATATTCTGTGCTAGGAAGTTCCATAGAATTTGCAGTCAGCTTAGGAAATAGAAAGCAAATCCACTGCTTTCTGCAGACGCTGCTTTTCTGCACATTTCTGTCTGCAGACCATGAGCTGTAAGCACACAAGTTACCCCATTGAAACTGCAGGACAGGGCACTGTCTTTGCTCAATGTTGACGTTCCTCGAAAATCTGGTATTGTCCCCTTCAGCCATAGGAGGAATGTCGCATCATTCTGTGTCTTCTACAGACATTTTCTGGATGCATCCTTCCATTGAACTTCCTGAAATTTTACCCCCAAAAATGGCAGTCAATACTTTCCTTCTCCATCAGATGCAGCGGCGTAACTAGCGTTAAGCTGCTGGGGGGAACCTAGGGGTGCACCAATTTTTCAAGGGGGGCACTGAGGGCAACGTATATATTTGTGTGCAATTCAACATTGGGGGGGGGGGGATGTGCCTCCCTTGCCCCCCTTCCCCAACGCAGTTACGCCACTGATCAGATGTATAACAAAGCTGTAAAAAAATTGCAACTACCAATACCTATATTGAGTGTACCTCATTTGGGGTTGATTTTCATTTTTTTGATGACAATATACATGTAGAGGGTGAGTAAAAAAAACAAATGTCGGGACTATTGTTTTATTGAAGTTCTGCATGTAGCACTTTCAAAATCTAGGATATGAAAGCCCCATTCATAAGCTTTCTTTTAGTACAAGAATCATTCAAATCACTCATGTACTTTTCAAGTTACAGAATTTTAAACACAACCACCGTTTTAAGGTTCTGTCCACGGATCACAAAAAAAGTTCAGTGTTCTTTCAGCAAAACGAAAACAATTCACACACATCCCTATATGATTTGTTTTCATTTTGCTGAAAAAAAAACACTGAACTTTTTTGTGATCCGTGGACAGAACCTTAAAACGGTGGTTGTGTTTAAAATTCTGTAACTTGAAAAGTACATGAGTGATTTGAATGATTCTTGTACTAAAAGAAAGCTTATGAATGGGGCTTTCATATCCTAGATTTTGAAAGTGCTACATGCAGAACTTCACTAAAACAATGGTCCCAACATTTGGGTTTCGGTTTTTTTTTACTCACCCTGTATAGCGGTAAAAAAGGAGCACAGTAACAGGAGATGCAACACATTTTCGTAAAATCAAAATGCCACTATTATATGGGCTCCATGGATGAACAAGAGTGGGCACTTTCCTACCACTTTCGAGAGCCCGGTGGACAGGACGCCCCTCGTGTGCATTCTGGTTTGCGCGTGTACAGCCCGTAGTACGCAGGACTTATGTACGCTATTCTGAATGTGCACACAGCCATAGCGTCTTCACGTGATCATCAGGCGTCATCGGCAATGCATTCGATTGTCTCCCCCAACTTTCCCTTTCTCACTATTGATCGGGTACTTGTGCACGAAGCCCATAGAGGTCTCCATACATACATCCGGGGTGTGAAATCTCAGCTTTACAGCTGATTTCAGCTTTTTTTGTTTTGGATTTCAGATTTTTTCCCTCACATGCTGTGTACAAAAGTATAGGAGATTTCCAAAGTTCAACCTTTTTAAGCTGTTTCAGCTATTTTTATCAGTGGTCACTCACACCCCTGATACATACACCTGTGTTGAATAACCATGGAAAGTCGCATGTTTGTGGTTCACTCTTGTGTTCATTGCATTTTTGCATGAAAAATGTTAGAAACCACATTGAACCCATTAGCACCTGTACTGCATTGTATTACATTGTATTACATTGTGTTTATTCTCTGATGGATCCATAAAACCTTAGACTTAGAGTGCTAAGGTGAATTTGGGAGTAACAGGCAGAGTGGTTTGTGCTGGTACAAGTACTAATGGGTTGAATTAAAAAAAAAAAATCAAAGTCAGAAATGTTCAAAGTAACACCTCAAATTAAGCATGGTCTTTTAAAAACGAAATCTTTGGTTTTTTACCCCTCAGCCGAGAGGCTCGAGGGGTATTGTTTGTTCTTGCACTAATCATATTCGGTCATGAGAATAAAAAATATACAATAAAGTGTGGCGCTAATATATCGGTCTCCATAGCATCAACAATGTCAGAGCGCTTAACATTTTCTCCTCTTTCATCACGCCACGAGACCACGCGGTGCACACATTCCGTCCTCTACACACACAAGTACCCATTTGTATTCCTGGGTGGAGAGATTGTAGTTAAGTGTCTTGCCCAAGGGCACAAACACCATGTTCCTGGCAGGGTTTGAACCCACGCACCATTGTACATGAGTCAAACACCGTGACGACTAGACAGTGGCATATTCTGTATACAGTACCTCATATACCATTCAGTACAAGAACTTATTCTCTTTTATTCTTATTATATTTGGATTTTCAATTACATTTATTATTATTATTTTTATAAATTGAGAGAAAGTATGTAAGTACCTCAACAGTATACAATGTACTGTGGTAGCAGTGTTATACACCCGGTATGCTTTCACCCTTTCAAAACCTCAGGCTTCTCACAGTTACGTAAAAGATTATGCATGCGATGTGGACCTTTGCCACACCCAGGTATTTGTGTCTGGTACCCCAAGTGCAGGATTGCGTCCCACATTTGCACTTACCCAGATCACCAGACTATTAATGGCCCCCTCGCCTCATTTTTGAAAGGTTCTAACGACTCGGGGGGAAAAGTGACAAAGAGATCAACAGTTTCACTGATCAAATTACCAAATCTAGGTTGTAATAATGTGAACGGTATATTAACTGTTGTGTTTTTCTAGATCTTCAACAAACTGGAATTGTTGAGCAAGGTAAGAGGTTTGAAAAATTCCTAATTTGCCGATTTTCAGTCTTTGGTGACAGGAACTACTTTTTGTTTAAACCCTCAGTGATGACGGCTGGTTTCTATAAATCAATTCTGTATCCTTGCCTTTCATGCTGGTCCCAGAGAGCCAGCCTCGTGTCCTCTTTGCTCCTAACTCATTGACCAACTGACTGACTGACTGACACTGAAGACTGGTAAAGAAAGCTGGGCAGTGCTATCATATGGGAGTACCTGGTATTAAAATGCCCATGGGTGATCTAAATCAGCCATTGTGTAGACCAGATGTTTGAAAAGACTACCAGTGAATAGCCATTCTGAATCAATTCGGGCGATTCACAGTGCAGTGCGCCACCAAGAGTTTGCCATGGAGAGTCAACTTTTCAAATTTACAGTCGACAAAATATGGCCCATTTGAATGAGTGTCAGTAGACAACTTGAGCTATTATGTTATAGATAGGGGCATAGCGTTCTGCCGCCTTACAAAAATCACCATATTGATACAAAGAATATAAAAGGGCTAACATATACTCTAATCATACGCTTACATACATACTACTAATCATACAAAACTACTGACCGGAAAAAAACGAACAATTTCAAATGTCCCGCGCTGCGAATTTGTCGACCATCTCCCACAATGCACTGGGAAAAATGAACTCTCTGTGGCCAACTCTTGGTGGCGCACTGCATTGTGAATCGCCCGAATTGAATGGAGTTTTGTGCACTCTGGGACCAGCTTTCCTAGGCTTGCCCTGTCTAATTTCTAATGGTCTTTGTGCTATATACTAATGTTGCCATGGTGACAAGAATGTATCTCAACAGAGTAACTCGGGCAACCATTACCTTTTGCCAATAATCAAACTTATCTCATACTGCAGAACGACCTTATGCCCATACAGATACTCATTATTCAGTGGACGTATATCTTTAGTGATGGATCATGCCCATAGAGCTATATTAAATTACTAGAGCGCTAACTCAATGTACAAAGTAATGCCTGATGGGCGCATCCATGTTTATGCACAAACCTATGGAAAACTCGAAATTTTGTACGGCTTTTGTACGGCTATTTGCATATCTGCGTTTGTATTCCATACCGGCATGTCATCGAAGCCAATACGCCCAAAACCGAAACACACGATCAGCAAATGAGCGTGTCATTTTGCTCTACGCAAACAGCGCAATGTGTGCGCGTCCCTCTGCTGCAGATGCTTTTCGCCGTGACATTTTTTTTAACTGTAATGACGTGCTTAAGTTGTTTGCGTATCTTGTACTTGTGCGTTGCATTTAGAGTACACTTTTAAAATTCAATCCATCTATTTTGATTGTGTTCTACAAACATGCACATAAATTCAAAATGTCTGCGCCCAGAGCTGCTTCAAAGCATCTCCACGCGCAAGAATGATGAGTTAGCGCTCTAGTAATTTAATATAGCTCTTTGATCATGCCACAAATCTGGCAACTGATCCAGCCACTGGTACTGCACATGCATTCCAAATAAAGTAAAATTAATTAAGCAAAGTTGTCAATAAAAGTTCCTCACGGTGGTAAACTGTTCCACTCTGGACTGTAATTGTACCAATAAAACTCAAACCTGTATAGATTTTTGTGTAATTTCCTAATGAAACAACACAAAAATGTTCAGAAATTACATGAGTCCGTAGTGAGTAGTTGAATCGGCTTGATCCTGTCGCTGCATCGAAGACTGACCTTGGGCGATCTTACGTAATCAGTTCCGATAGTGAATACTCTTGGAAAAGAGGGAAGCAAAATTGATGCACAATTCCTGCCCACATGAGTTTGAATTTGCAGTTTTGAGAACTGCTCCATTGATTTCAAGTTTGACTGTAACATCAGTACTGTGATGTTTCACTTAGAAACATGTCCTAAGGCTGAAAAGGTACAGGAATCACCCCCAGAGTGTCACGGTAATTTTTCTTTTTCATTTGTTGTTGTTGCAGTATTGGGGAAATGTGCCAAGAAATGCCCATGCATTGATCTCTTCCAATCCTCCTACATGTAAATCCTCACTTTGCATTAAACCCTATAGCTGATTCTTTGTAATTTCGAGGGTTGCGAATGAACCCAATTTAAAATAAATAGGCAAAGCTCTACGTGCCTCAGTCCTGAAAAATCCTGCAGAATGCCGGATGGAATTTGAAAAAAAAAATCTGTTAGGCATGAAATTTGAAGAAAATCAAAACAAATCGGAAAAGAATTTCACACTACCCACACTGTCTATGTAGGACCCAGGTCCAACACAAAGATTTCGGGAACCACAATCCAACACGATTTCTATATGGGTCCAGCACTCCTCATGGGTAAAATCCAACCCTGGTCCCTGACCAGGGTCAGGACCAGGGTTGAGAGGCTCTATACCTGGGTAGACAATCCTAAATCTTCATCCAAGTCGTAGATAACCTGGTGTCAGCCTTGTCTTTGATGGGACTAGGGAGTTTATTCTGCTTTAACATGCTATTCTGATGCTTCCCTTGTAACACAATCGCTTAAAGCTATAGTCCATCATTTGCAGCTATCCGAAAAGTAACTGGCGTAATTATTGTTGAAAAACATACTTGGTTGAAAGATAGTAAGGGGACTAAACTCCCTGTGAAATTATTCTTTCTGGCAAGCTGTCATTTTGAAGTAATCAACGAAAGAAGGCCTATCCAACGGTGCTTCTTAAGAGGCACCGTAGGAAATTTAAATTAGTAGTTCGTTTTGTTATTCGGTGAAGCACGTGCAAGCATTGGCACGACACACTCGCACGCGCAGTTGCTATAATTCGTCGGTTCAGTGCGCGACATCGCGTAGCTGCAATCGGCTCAGTGAGAACGTGTCTTGGATGCTGAATTCAGGCCCAATTCAAAACATGATTCAGCTTTTCAAATCAACTTTTGATTTGAAATTGAGATCCTAGAATGCTGTTTTTCTCGGAATATACAGCTGAAGCTGAGCTGAAACTTCATCAGGTTAGTTGTTCAGTACCCTTCTTTAGATTTTGAGCACTTTTGTTGCTTCAAACGAACAAAATGCACAAATTACAAATGATGGACTATATCTTTAACATTACCAATGCATGTCCCATGATGAATGGCTCTGAAGGGTCTCTCAAAAGGGATCATTGAAAAACAAATGGAAAAAACTGTCTTAAACAGAATATAGACCATGTCCAAACCAGGTGTCTAGAGTTATGGGGGCACACACACAGCAACGTTTTGCCGAGATGACTGATATGTTACTCGACGAAATTTTGGTATGTTATTGCATGCAACTTTCCTGAATCAACAGCAAAGTTTTAACGAAGAAATCCTCAATTATTAAAGGGAATACACAATATTTGCAAATATCAAAAAGCAAAACTGTAATTATGAAATACGTTACTGGACTGTTAGTGAATGACAGTCTAAAGCATCCTGTAAAATCATGGCGCCTGGTGTGGTGTAATTTTCAAGTAAACTTGTATATTTCTATCAATTTTCAACGCTGGTCGGTGGACCAGCATTCCAAATACTGCCCCAAATTTATCATATTTAGTTAGTTTGCATTTGTTTGCAATCGATTACACACCTACGAACGGGTACAAGCCAGCTAGACTGGTTCCCTGACCTAACAATTCCCCGACATCTATAAATTGCTCCGTTTCATCTTAAATGGGGTCAGGGAACCAGACTACAGAAACAGGATTGCTTTTCTTGGTTTTTCCAGCATCTACGAACACAAAACTTTGAACAAGTCAGTGTAACAATATTTTTGCTACAAAATACTCCACAAATCCATTCATTTCTGAAAATTACTGCAAAAGCAAATGTGGTATATTCCCTTTACAACTCACTAAAAAAATCACTAGCAACAGTTTTGAATGCGTCGGTTTCGAAATGCAAGTAAAATCAAGCAAATCCAAGCGTAGAATTGTGGCAGATCTGGAACAGTTTATTCTGAACAACATTTTTGCACACAAATTTCTACTCTCTACTACTCGGTTATTACTCTCTTTGTTTGCTTTTATTTCGTACCTTTAAAAATAACTTCATTTAAATTTATTTGTACTTCTGATATGGCCATTCCACCCTCCCCCAATCATGCTGTAGTTTTCATCTAAACATCTCATTCATCATCTTCATGTAGCAAAGCTTATCAGTTTTTTTCTTTTTCTTTTAAGTTATGACAGCTTTGGTTGACAGCTTTGAGGTTTTTTCTTTGTATTAAAACTTTAACAAAGCTTCTGGAAGGAGAAGGGCTTGATATGTACTGAATAATAAATTTGTTTGGTACATGTATGTTCCTAAGGAAACTATAATTCCTATTAACTCAAATTTCAGATAAATTAGAAGTGTTGTTTCCAGATTTCCCCAAATGTACTGAAATATAAGGTGTTATAACCACCTAGCCATAGTCATATGCTAACCACAATTGTGGCTAGGCTGTAACAAACTACATGTATGTGGACTGAGAGCTCTACTTGAGTACCTGGACCATAGAGCTATATTAAATTACTAGAGCGCTAACTCGAGGTACAAAGTAATGTCTGATTGGTGCATCCATGTTTGTGCACAAAACTATGGAAAACTTGAAATTTTGTACGGCTTTTGTAAGGCTATTTGCATATCTGCGTTTGTATTCCATACCGGTGCGTCATCGAAGCCGATACGCCCAAAACCGAAATGCACGATCAGCAAATGGGTGTTTCATGTTACTCTACGCAAACAGCGCAACGCATGCGCGTCCATCCGCTGCATGCAGATGCTTTTCGCCCGTGACGTTTTTTGAACTGTCATGATGCGCTTAAGTTGTTTGCGTATCTTCTACTTGCGCTATGCATTTAGAGTACACTTTTAAAATTCAATCCATCTATTTTGATTGTGTTCTACAAACACGCACATAATTCAAAATGTCTGCGCCCAGGACGGCTTCATAGCGTCTCTGTGCGCAAGAATGAGGAGTTAGCGCTCTAGTAATTTAATATAGCTCTATGACCTGGACACATAATCAGACACAGGCATGTGAAGGCAGTTCCTCAGTGTTGGACGTAAACTATATATCCAACTTTTTGTAGAAATCGGCTCGAAACGCCACGGTGTCGGATGTACTTAGACACATTGTTTCTTTTTGGTTCAACTGCAAGTAACACTAACAGGCAAAATGTTGAAAATTGTTTGAAATAAACTATATGTTTCTATAAAATACAGATAAAAAAGATTCAAAATGACATACATTTTTCATTTTTGGATCATTTTGAAATTTTGGCATTGAGGTTTACAAATCTGTGAAATTGCCCAAAAGGAACTCGTACTTGGGTCCAATATATTTTGCAAATGTTCTGATTTTTTTCTGCATGCTTTTTTGTTTGGGTCCAAATACACTTGGTTGTAGAGGGGTGAGACATCTGCGATCCTAACAGTATGTCTTGGGTTTGCATTCTACCTGAGTGGAGTCTTCCTCACAATTTCTGGGGGGGGGGGGGGAAAAATGAGTATGCAAACCTTCATAATGTTGTGCTGGTGAAGTGTATATACCGAATATTAACACATGTGTGAATTGCTCTTTTTATTTCCGAAGCTTCCATTTGGGTTTTGCCCTTTGCCGACTTAGTTTCTTAAACACTGTGTACTCAGTGTTGTCCATGAGCTTGCAAGACAAAAAATTCACAAACTATATGTGATACACGGGTGGGAACAGAACCCTTGACACCTTGCTTACCGAGTTTGCAGGGGTTGGCTGGCTGGTTCGAATCCGATATAGGATAAAGTATGTCAGTGAGGGGCAAAACCCAAAATTGAATTTACATCTGCCGAAAACAAAAAAATCCCTGAGGCTGCTTTCCATCCTAAAATATGCTCTTAAGAAGATCCTCCCTATGCCGTTCCCCCTGCTCCTTCCAATCATAGCTTTTTCTACTTGTTCTAACTATTTCATTGGCTAGCTGACCCCGGCAAGCTTGATGGTTAAACGGTTGAGCATGAGGTTGTGGATTCAAGTTCCACCCAAGCAAACTTTGAGTTTTTTTCCTCGCAAAGTCTTGGACAGCACTGAGTACAATGTGCGTGTGAAGCTTTTCTCGCAATTACATCAAAATGACATCAGCAAAGGACAAAACCAAATGTTACAACTATTTTCTTTGTTGGTCAGATTGCAAAGCAGACCCTTCTTTGTTACTGATCCTGAAGTGGGGAGGCGAGCTGACAGATGCCGGCAGGGACCAGGCTGAGGAGTTAGGCAGAGCGTTCCGTTGCATCTACCCTGGTGGCCAAGGTAGGTGCACAAGATGAGACAGTCTTTCTTGCTGGTCCAAGAGAAAGCCATGCTTTAGTCATCACTTTGTACTTCACTGACTGACTGGCTCACCGACTCACTGCCAATTGTTAACAGGGTAGTGATATTGTATAGGATTACCCTGTGTCACCAGTGATTGGGCTACATTTGTAAATCCGGCCCATTGTGTACACAGATGCAGGAAAAAGACTTCAAGTGCATTGTAATTTTTTAATCAATTGTTAAACAGAATTGAGTCAGCTCTGGAACCAGTTTTACGGGGCTGGCCTTTTTTTGTTTACCCCTTAACCCTAAGTCAGTTGAAATTAATCACATTTTCAAATTACAGTCAGGACATTAGTAATTCTGGTAAGCAATTACAGTTTATTAGGGTCGGTATATATAGCTTGCCACCTGACCGAGTTTGGAATAGATTTTTTATGGATTCCGGTGTGGAAGCCTATTGACTTGTCATGATTTTAGATGATTTTTGATTGACTTGTGAATGATTTGTGATTGACTTGTGAATGACTTGTGATTGATTTGTGAATGACTTGTGTTTGACTTGTGATTGACTTGTGATTGACTTGTGATTGACTTGTGATTGACTTGTGTTTGACTTGTGAATGACTTGTGTTTGACTTGTGATTGAATTGTGTTTGACTTGTGATTGACTTGTGATTGACTTGTGATTGACTTGTGATTGACTTGTGTTTGACTTGCGAATGACTTGTGTTTGACTTGTGATTGAATTGTGTTTGACTTGTGATTGACTTGTGATTGACTTGTGACTGACTTGTGATTGATCTGTGAAATTGTTTTGTGATGATTCAAGATGACTTTCGATTGACTTGTGATGATTTGTGATGAGTTGTGATTGACTTACGATGATTTTTGATTTTGCTTCACTTGTGAAAGCTTTTGATGGACTTGTGATTGACTTACAAATGACTACTGATTTGCTTGTAAATGACTTGTGTTTGTCTCGCCAGTGACTTATGATGACTTTTAATTATAATTCGGCTTCTCAATATCTCAGGGGAGTATGCAGGTTTCCCTGGTTGTGGCTTGCTTCGTCTGCACAGCACCTACCGTCACGATCTGAAAATATACGCATCGGACGAGGGCCGGGTGCAGATGACTGCTGCAGCATTCACAAAGGTGGGTGGGAATCACGTGAATATGCATGAACTACATGTACATGTAGTGTTGCTCTTTAATAGACCGATCTGGCCTGTCAATCAAACAGTGTGCACTGACCAATAAGATTATGATCTTTGGTCAGGTGACTTAACGGTTGCTATAGGTGTGTCTGCCATTAGTTCGGTTAATTTCACAAAAATTCAAAAAGTGTGAGTGTTCATTACACCAGGCTGGTGTAAGCTGGGGTTAGGAGAGGGGGGTGGTAGTGGTAGTTCACCGACTAGTTTCGCCTTCATCCGCTTTTTAAACTTGTGTACATATGTTCCCTGTATTATAAGTAAGACCCCATGTGTGCACAACAAACATCCTTCGGTGAAATAAGCATGCAGGCACGACTCACATGAGCAAAATATAGAGGTAGCACCAGGCGCGAGCGAGTTGCGCTCAGGTAGTATGTACGCACTCTGGGCTCCTTCCATCATCAGCGTTACCAAAATGCATGTGCGCTTCGTCCTTAAGAATGTGTGCGTCATGTCCACGGACGTGGTTCCAGCTGAAAAAATGGCTTCTAATTTTGTTCGACGAATTAGTCTGTAGTATGTGTTGTGTATGTTGACATAAAAAGTTCCAACTCGTGGATTACAAAACCCCTAAATTTAGGGTAAGGGAACAGGCCTGTTACACTATCACATTTCTTTAAAATAGCGCTTAGACTGTACTCTGAATTTTGTTACTGGATTTCTCAGAATGAATCTCAAGGAATATATTTCAATTGTTAATTATTAAAAAATTCAATAGAAAGAACAATCTGTACTCTTAATTTTTAATGTATCACTTTGTTCCACATTCAAAAATACTCGGGACAATTTACCTATTCCTATTGGTAGAATTCCCTGATTTTTTTCATTTGATAACAGGGTATGTTGGCATTGGAAGGCGAGCTGACCCCTATCCTAGTCCAGATGGTGAAGAGTGCTAACACCAACGGCCTGCTTGACCATGAGAAGGACTCGGTCACAATACAGGGAAAGTAAGTCGACTCCTGTTAGTTTTTAACTTTGACATTTGAGAGAAAATATAGACTTTGTGCACAAGTACCCCCTCAAGGGTTACAAAGAGAAAGCTTGGAGGGACCACTGGGAGGTATACATGTACCCTTGAGCGTATTGACGATGGCTCATGACATTTACAGGAAAACAGTGTGGGTTGAACTGTGCGTACTTGTGCGCCATACGCGGATGAACCAGTGTGCAAACATGGTGTGTCCCTCCCTCTGGATTTCTCATAAGTGAAAACAAAGTGCTATCTCCCAATCAGGTACAGTGTATCGGATGCATTTCCAGCTCCTAGTGCTTGAGACATAGTAGGCAAACATTTGAACATTGCATGTGCAACTGCATGCAAAAATCCACTTATTTATTTACCCATAATAACCTCAGGAACTTTTGTTATGAAACATTTGTTAACACGCTGACTGCCGACTACGAATATAGCCGTAGTGACAGGCGTACCGAATTTTGCCACTACTGGTATACTCGTAGTAAAGTAAAGGCTTTTGTATTGTAAACAGAATATACAGGCATAGCTGAAAACACAACAAATTAGCTGGCAGTTTGAGAACAAAAATCTATTGACTGGTTATGTTCAAATTATCAAACGATTGTTTCATAGTGACAAGCATACCGGATTTTGCCACTACGAGTATACTCGTACATATTAAAGGCTTTGGTATTGTTAACTGAATATACTGGCGTCGCCGAAAACGCTGAAGACTCTGGGTTTTTTGCATTAAGCGGTAAAAGTGATGAAATGTTGGGCATGGTGCATGATAAAATGTTGGGCACTTCAGTGAATATGTTTTTTTTTGCATTTGGCCGCTAGTCAGTTTCAAACCCGACCAAGTACCCTGCGTACACTGCAGTGCTTACATGAAATAAGCGCACGCCATGTTTTGACCGACCATTCTCTTGGATTAATTTCTCAGATCAGCAGCATTTGATACAGAGCTCCAGAGTCAATTATTTCACCACAGGTATAATGAATCACGTTAATCAGCAACATTGGGCATTGTTTAGGCTGCCAATCACCTGCTTTATTCACAAAACATCCCTTTCCAGAACATTTTTTTGGGACAAGTCAATTTGTGACTCATCTTCATGGGTAATCATGTGACAGTCATGTGACAGCTTCCCTCCTTTGCTGCTGTGTTTGTGTGTGGTTGGCCACACACATATCATGCCATTTTGATAAGGATATCAGTCTTCTCAGTTTGAAGATAACATGTGAAATGCATGAAATGAGGATTCTTCATTAAAATCTTTGCCGTTTTAGATCTTAAATCTGTCCCTCGGAAAACATAACTACAGACAACTGTTGGTGTTACATAAGTTATAACTCTTTCCTACAAATGTAAAATTAGTTTCAACTGTTCAATTCTCTCTTGGCCGGTTTACATATTTATTCACAAAGTTGAGAACTACAGGGTGAGTCCAAAAAAACTGAAACCCAAATGTGGGGACCATTGCTTTAGTGAAGTTCTGCATGTAGCACTTTCAAAATCTAGGATATGAAAGCTCAATTCATGAGCTTTTGTTTATTACAAGAATCATTCTAATCACTTATGTACTTTTCAAGTTACGGACTTTCAAACACAACCACCGTTTTAAAGTTCTGTCCATGGATCACAAAAAGGTAAGTGTTCTTTCAGCAGAACGAAAACAAATCACATAAGGATGTGTGTGAATTGTTCTTGGTTTGCTGAAAGAACGCACACCTTTTGTGTGATACGTAGACAGAACTTTAAAACGGTGGTTGTGTTTAAAATTCCGTAACTTGAAATATCCTAGATTTTGAAAGTGCTACATGCATAACTTCAATAAAACAATAGTCCCGACATTTGGGTTTCGTGTTTTTTTACTCACCCTGTAGAGCAGCATTATAAAGTGAATAATATGTGCTTGGCCATTATTAAACAAGTATGTTTATAAGTGGCTAGGGGTCTGGAAGATTAATTGCCCCAGCTGATCATTGTCGGCCACCGGAACCATAGCAGGGTTTTAAACCTACTCGTTTATTAAATACAGGTCAAATGGTCAGAACAAGACAAAAATTATAAATTTCCAACGATTTTATTTCATTTTTTGTGAAACACCCCTCTAGCTATGTTTGTGGTATGTGCCTCGTGCGAGTACCGGGTAGTACTAAAAATCTCTGTATGAGGAGATTGACACGCATGTGATGTGGCGCAGAACGCTGTGCAGCAGGGGAAAAAAGTGTTAAAAACCAGTCAGTGTTTTATCAACCATTTAAAACCACCCATGTGATGGACTATCGACCAATATGTTATACTGTCTTAGGTATTTAGGAATCATTGGAAAAAAACACTCATTGACCACGAGGTTCTCAATGTACCTGTACATGCTAAAGTCACATGTACAACCATACTGCACTAAATGCCAAATCAGAAATCCATCGGAAATTTTTTTTCATGAGTTTCCTCGCTTACCACCATATTGAATTTTTCCATCAATTTCTTGCCATCACAGCAGCACAGAATTATTTTTTTCACTGTTCACAGATTGGCTCTGTCCGTAGAAACAGTCCATTCTTTTTTGACGGCTTGGTATGATTTTCCTGACCATCCCTATTTTTTTTCTTCAAAACAAAATCATCAGTTTCCATGGAAACCATATTGCACCAGTCACAGACTCCACTTGGTTTTTCTTGGAAAAATCATCCACTGATTACTTAAACCTTGATTAAATTTGTATAAAACACAGAAATTATGTACAATAAAAAAAGTGTGTCTGAAATTGTTTCAGTTATATATACGACCAAATTGTGAGCACTCCACTTTCATATGATCACAGATTGCAGATTTCGTATTCATGTGCATTGATTAAATCAAGGTGTTTTTTTGGTGGCTGCCAAAATGAAGGCCACTTGTTTAAAATATGTCCAAACATAGCCACCCCCCCCCTTGAAATTTGATATTGATATTTAAAGCTAGAGTATATCATTTGTAGCTATCCAAAAAAGAAACTGACAAATTTATTGTTGAAAAGCATACTTGGTTTAAACATAGTAATGGCACTTAATTCCCTGTGAAATGATTCTTTCTGGCACGCTGTCATTTTGAAGAAAACAATCAAAGAAGGTCATTTCCAAAGATGTCTCTGAAGAAGCATTTTTGGAAATTTCCATTAGTGGTTCGTTTTTAATTTGGCAAAGCCATGAATGGGTGCGGGCGCAAGTGTTAACACGATGCGCACGCGTGCGCGGTTCAGTGCGTGACATCACATAGCTGCAATCGGCTGAATAAGAATGTGTCCTGGATGCTGATTTCAGGCGCAATTCAAAACATGACTTCGCAAATTTTGAATTGAAATCGAGATCCTAGAATATTGTTTTCTCGGAATGTACAGCATTCACTGAGCTAAAACTTCATCAGGTTAGTTGTTAAGCACCCGTCTTTAGATTTTGAGCACTTTTGTTGCTTCACAAAAAAAAAATATGCACAAATGACAAATATATACGTATACTTTAATTGAAATTTACCTGAAACTCATTCACTGTGACGCTGTTGTGGTCTTTGGGTATACATGAAATTGTACAGGTCCATTGCCCCGTCCTCAAAATGGAAGATTTTACTACCCTTCCCCCAGCTTTTCTTACCAGTTTTCACATGTTACCCAAATTTCAAGTAGTTACGTAAAAAACAAATGGATTCACATAAAAAATAAAAAAAAACACAGAAATTACAAATTGAAAAAGATTCAAAAGATCACTAGCTTTTTGGGGGCCTGTTTGTTTCGTGCAGATCCGGATCACAATCAGTGATCCGACGCATCGATAGCTGCTCCAAATCATGTTTTAACAAGGTGGGTTCACAAGATCAAAGATGGCGACGTGCGCGACAGACGAAGAGAAAAAAAATGAGGTTTTTAAGTCGCTTTGTAGCATCAATTGAGCTTTTGTGACAGTATTTCTTCCTAAATCTTTTAGAGTGTTTTTTTCGTGAATAAAAACAGTAAGATTGGTTTACTTGTTTTGGAAATTACAGATAGATAGATCATAAAAATAGCCCTTCAGCGTACAAAATCTGAAGCGGAGAACATTCATGTGCACCTAAAGTATTCAACACGCGAGAGTGGTTCTGATTGTTTTCGCACGGCGCTGGATCACATGATCTCGATAAGGAGCTGAAATAAAACAAAGACGCCCTAGGTGTCTGATTGAGGATGTTTAATAGTCGGAAGTCCTTGTACAGTAGACAGATTGCAACAAACCTCTCTTATGCCACATTACATGTTCTGGCTGCGCCAGTCATTTACATGTGCACGCATGTCGGAAATTAATCGCATGGTTGTGATTGGTCAAAGCGGCGTGGGGGCGGTGTTTATTAGATCAGTCTATTGCAGGAATTTTGTCTTTTTAAAATTTCAGACACATGTAGCATATTCAAACCATACAAATAAATATGCATCTTGTGTAACTCACACTCCGTGCCAAAAATGCCATAGCCCACCACCATCCCTGTATTTGAACTGCCTGGATTAGTTTTGTCAATTTCTCATTTTCATGATAATGGGCTTTTCAACACGCTTGTCACATCGGATAGGTGGCCATGGTGACTTTGCAACCCCCATGTAGCTCTAACAGAAAGTCATGTGAAAAAAGTCGCCTACAAAAAGTCACTTGAAAACATTTTTTTCATATCACATGCACTGATGTGTTGTAGCAAAAATTTGTCACACCATTTCACCGGTGAGTCATTCAGTTGGATGGGGCATATTAAAGCAGTCATTCATTTCGTAAGATTTGAAAGTTGTTCTTAACCCTAAAAACTCCCTCTGAGGCATACTGGGTATTTGCTCGAATGAAACCTCAATCCTGCAAAATCCTCCAACTGCCCTTATGTAAAAATAGCATACAGCCTCAATCCTGCAGAATCCTCCAGCAATCACTGTCAATATGTTGAGGCAGAGCCAGTGACATCCTGGAGCAGTTGGAGGATTTCAGGTATAATCTAGGCCTAAATGTGTGCGCGGCTGAGCATAAACAGCACAAGGTCGGCACAAGACCTTGACACAGTGCATCCTCCAAAATCAGCCACACATGTTTGCCATATAGCCTCAATCCTGCAAAATTCTCCATTGTGCAAAGATGATTTTGGAGGATTTGGGAAGGTTAGGGTTAATAGAACATCATCATTCATTATCTACGTATTGAAAAAAAAAACCAAACCATTTCTATTCTTACATTGATGACTTTCATGCGTAATCTTATTTGCCTTCTTTCAACTCAAGTATTGATGTTCATTTTCCCTCATTTTTTTTTCAGGGTGAAAGAGACTCTCTACGAACGATTTCGCAAAAATGGCAATTTCACCGAAGACGACAAAAAGGAGGTATTGTCTGAGACTTATTTGATAAAATTTATATCGTGAGGTGGGGTTCAATGGATTGGTATATTGTGCATGGCTGTTGGTATGGAGACATCAACTCATGAACCTGATTCACGAGGAAGCCAGTTTTGATCGTGTTCTCTTAATTGTATTTACACATTCCGGTACGTGAAATTTGGCCCTGATGCTCACCCAAAGATGCAATTGCCTTGTGCACATTCAGAATGTAGCTAACAACATTCCCCAAAGGTCTATAAACATGTAAACGACGTTATCATAAGACGATCAGATTCAAAATTATGACCACTCCAATGAGTGTGGACTTTCTTTTTTGCTGTGTTTAGTCAAGCTAGTGTCTCCTCTCAAATTTGCTTCATTGTCTAGCGTTATCCGTTGTAGGTTAATGATCTATTCTTATGAATAAGTCTACTCGTTCCTCCCCTCCCCCTATTTGTGTTTCCAGCTTGCACCAACGGGCAGCAAGTCCATTCACTACTCGCTGTCACGCATCCAGAACCCCACAGAAATGTGCGAGAAGATCTACAGCCTCATCAAGGAGCTGACTCACATGGTGCGCAGCTGCATTGATGACAAGCCCTCCCAGGAAGGTAAATTCTCCCAAAATACCGCGGTATAAAGTTAAACGGTGTAAGGGCCCAGTTTCATGGCCCTTCTAAGTAGATAATATTGCTGAGCAAAATTTAAAGCCAGAGTCCATCATTTGCAGCTATCCCAAAAGTAACTGGCGTAATTATTATTGAAAAACATACTTGGTTGAAAGATAGTAAGGGGACTAAACTCCCTGTGAAATTATTCTTTCTGGCAAGCTGTCATTTTGAAGAAATCAACGAAAGAAGGCCTTTCCAACGGTGCGTCTTAAGAAGCACCGTTGGAAATTTCCGTTAGTAGTTAGTTTTTTTATTCGGCTAAGCGCGCGCAAGCGTTGACACGACGCACACGCGCGCGTAGTTGCTATAATTCGTTGGATCGGTGCGCGACATCGCGTAGCTGCAGTCGTTCAGTGAGAACGTGTCTCGGACGCTGAATTCAGGCCCAATTCAAAACATGATTCAGCCACTTTTGATTTGAAATCGAGATCCTAGGATGTTGCTTTTCTCGAAATATACAGCTGAAGCTGAGCTGAAACTTCATCAGGTTGGTTGTTCAGCACCCTTCTTTAGATTTTGAGCACTTTTGTTGCTTCAAACGAACAAAATGCACAAATTACAAATGATGGACTATACCTTTAAAGGGATGTAGGGACATTTGCAGTTACCTGGAATTATACCCACAGATTTAATGAGAAAATCCTAATGAGAAGATAGGGATGGTACCAAACACCCTATGAATCCTAGTACAGTGGAACGTCGCTGTACCGATCACCACCATACCGAACACTCGACTGTACTGAACATCTTCCCTGGCTCCCGATTTTTGTGTGTGTTGAACATACCGAACATTATTTGTTGAAAAATGTCAACTGAAGAGCGACAAGTGGCTATTATTTCCCCAAGAAGTGGAAGGGGAAAGTCACCCATTGCTGTAGGTAGTAAGCTCAAAAACTGTTATATAATTACATACTTCAAAAGTTGGAACGTGTTCAAAGTCCTCTTTCAGTAACTACCAGGGCATTCAGGGTGAAGTTCTGAAGGGCGCTATTTATTGAAAAGTGAATACCAGAGCACTAGAAGCTTAAAATCGCTACACCAAACGCTCGCTATTACGAACAATTTCTGTGGATCCCGCGATGTTCATTATACCGGCATTCCACTGTATCCACAGAGCTGAAAATCAACAGATTTTGTGCAAGTTTGTTACTTTAAAAGAAAAAAAATCAAGTGATCCTTTGAACTTTAAAGTTTTGGGGGACTAAACTTCATTTTTGACAGAACTTATCCTGTACAGCAACGAGTCGCTGGAGCTGATGTTACGACGCTGGGCCAAACTAGAGAAAGACTTCAAGACCAAGACTGGCCTGTTTGATATCACCAAGATCCCGGACATCTACGATTGCATCAAGTATGATCTGCTTCACAACGAGAAGCTCATCACTCCTTTGGGGTTCAAGGGCATGTGGGAGCTGTACCTGAATGCTCAGGTGCTGGCCGATGTCATCATACCACAGGTGAGTGGTCCTGGGTTCACATCCCGGATATCGTGGTCTCAGAACTCTTAAAGGCTCAGTTGTCGGTTGTTATTGTACCACAAATGAGTGGTCTGAGGTTCAACTCCTGACATATTCGGGCTAAGAGTTCTTTCTAGGTAAGTTGTTGGTTGTCATTGTACCACAGTTGCATGGTCCAAGGTTCTTATCCTGACTTATTTCGCCATGGGGCTCTTACTGGTTCAGTTTTCAATTGTTTGCGGTAATTGTACCACAGTTAGGTGGTCTGAGGTTCATATTCTAACATGATGCGTTGGGCAATCTTCCTTGGTCTTTACAACTTATTGATGTTTTCTTTTGACAAGTTACCAAAGTTACAAATGAAACAAAAGGTACGAATACTCTGATTAAAGGGACTTAAAAAGAATTAAAAATCTGTTGTCAACAATTTCTTAAGAAGTTCATTTGGGAAACTTAAACAACACATTTCTGGATTTTTAAAAGTTTCCAAGGCCCGAAAAAATTCATATAACTTGTCATATTTTGTCCGATTCCCATATTCTATACATCATTGGAAAGCTTATTCAATATCCTTGTGAATGCGCTCAATATTCCAGTTTTCAAAAATCGGTCCAAGTGACTGGTTTTTTATGCAGGAGGGTCACCAATATGTTTTGAGAGATTTTTAATATTATTTCAATTTATTTATTAATTTTTTATAGGAGTACGGCATTACCAAAGAAGAAAAGCTCGGGATTGGCACCAGTATCTGCACTCCCTTGCTGCGCAAGGTCCGTGCCGACCTGCAACGCACCAACTTTGAGGAAGAGACCACGTTCAGGCTGAACCCCAAGTATTCAAAGGGGGTCTTGTCCCCCGCCCGCCATGTCCGGACCAGGCTGTACTTCACCAGCGAGAGCCACATTCACTCTCTGCTCTCCTGTCTCCGATATGGCGGACTCTGCAACGTAAGTTGGAAATTAGCTGTAAGTCTTTTTTTCTTTGCCGTTTTAATGGAAAAGAAAAACAGTGTACACTACACACTTCTCCATCCGTTCACATCCTTAACCCTAACTCCCTAGGCCTTTTGGCCAGGATGTAGCCTCAATCCTGCAAAATCCTCCAATTGGCCTCATGGAAAAATAGCATGTAGCCTCAATCCTGCAAATTCCTCCATTATCTCTTGAATATGGTCTGTGGAGGTGTGACCACTGCCTGAATCCTGCAAAATCCTGCGGCAGTGACTGTCAGTATGTTGAGGCTTGGCCAGTGACACCCTGGAGCAGTACGGAGGATTTCAAGCATAATCCTGGCCTATATTTATGCATGGCTGAGCAAAAACAACACAAGGTCCAGCCCAAGACCTTGACAAAGTGCATCCTACGAAATCAGTAATGCACTTTTGCCATGTAACATCAATCATCCAAAGAGGATTTTGAAGGATTCAGGGCGGTTAGGGTTAAACAGTTATTTTTCCCCAAACATGTTTTGTTTCTATGTACATGTCACCTTTGCAAGCGAATGCACTCTGACTGGGAACACTATTGTCTCACTTGCCTCAGGAAGAGACTGATGCCCAGTGGGCCCGGGCCATGTCCTACATAGGAGAAGTCAAGGAGCTGAACTACATGACGCAGATCGTTCTCATGTTGTACGAGGACCCGACCAAGGAGCCCATGTCCGAGGAGCGCTTCAGGGTTGAGCTGCACTTCAGCTCGGGGGCCAAAGGCTGCAACGCCACGGACATGCCAACGGTGGGCGGCTATCGCTCAGCGAAGGTGCGTCCGAACATGAGAAACTTGTCTGTAATCTCTCTCAATCTATTAAGTGATAAAATTGGACAAAGAAAATGACTGGAGCAGGGCTTGAACCTGCGACCTCCGGATTACCGTTCCGGTGCTCTACCAACTGAGCTATCCAGCTCTATGTTGGCAGTTCCCCGGTTAGTCAAAACTGCTGCGAACTGCTTGCTGACTGGATTGACCTGAAATATACAAATACCAAAAAAAAGTGAGGGCAATAATATTTCGATCCCAGCAGAAGCTTTGTCAAGGTTTCTGCTAGGATCAAACATAAGGCCCTCAATTACTTTTAATCTCAAAAAACATTTCAGTGGAAATACGAGTCAGCAGATGTCTGTTGTTACTGTATTAGTTTGCGTTACTTTCATTTCCTTCAGGGAGACACGTCACCCACCGAACAACTCTCAGAGAACGACGACGAAGTTGACAGTGCTTACGACGACCCCACAGTCACCTGTGACGAACCCATGTTCTCGGTGACTGGCAACGACAGCACGCCGACGTCCTCCATGGTTGGCCTGGACTCGGGACCAGAAGACCAGCCGGACTCGGCCCAGAGGTTGCCCTTCGTCAAGCTGCCCGAGCCCCACCACATGCTCAAGGTGGGCCTGGGGCTGAGGGACGGAAGCCGACCCAGCTCGGGCCCAGCGTTGACCCCGTCCAGGGCTAGCTTCAACACGCTGAATGACATCAGCGAGCATGAATCCCTGGCTACAGAAGGTAGGTTCAGACAAAATTTTACTGCAACTTTTTAGTCTCTTAATTAATGTTTTGTTCCTCTAAGACAAATTTAAGTAAAATTATGTAAAATTATTTGCTTTATCAAACTTAATTTTTTTCCCCAAACTTCAAAACCCACAAACTTTGAAGAATGCACTGTCGACAGCGGTGTTTAAATAGCGGTTTTAAAGTGATGGGCTCTTGATCTATAGGAATAGGTAAACTGTCTGGTATTTATGAATGCGACTTTGTGATGTTATTGTGTTTGTAATACGAATTCACAAAATTTTAACACATTTCAAATCAAGCAAATTTTGCTGCAAAGGTTTATTTCTTCTTGCTTTTCTTCTTGCTATCCAAAAGTTATCATTATTAACCCCCAAAAATCGGCCCATGTTTAGTTATTGAATTTTTACTTTACAAATTTGGAATTATTGGCTGCCAGACAATAATTCTCTTATCGTAAGTAGGCTGGTTCCCTTCCTTACAATTAGCAACGATAATGTACAGGCCGGGAGCCAGTCTGCTCGCAAAGTGGATCTGTTTGTGCCCAAAACTAAAAGCTTTTTTTTGGAGGGTTGCAGATGCCCAATAAAAGGAAAAAAGTAAGGTTTTTGCTTGGAAAAAAAAAATATGGAAATTCTACACATATGGCAAGTCCGCACACAAACACAAAAAAAATTACCTCTGGAAGATTTTTAAATTAATGGCATTTTTTCCCCTTCCTTGCCCTTCAGCCAAGGTGTCGGCTAGCAGTAGCAGGGGAGGATTGCTAGGGGTCCACAGTGCCCCGACCCTCCACGGTATGGAAGGCACTAACCCCAACGATGCCAACTGGGTAGTCAGTCAAGAAGATCTGCTCAGACGGGCCTCGCATTTTTCTGCTCAAGGTAAAACAACTGAGTGAATGGGGAGTTTGGGTTGAATAGACAGTCTGGGTGAGACACCGGACAAACATATGCTAGGGTCATTAGTAATTCTGCACTGAGCTCTCCAGAGTCCCCATAAATATCCATATTGGAAAGGATTTTGTTGACGTTGGCCTTCTCTCCACAGACCACCTTTCACGTTTGGTTGAGATTGATGACTGAACTTTACAGTGAAATGGAACACACACACACATGTACGCAACCAAGTGCATATTTGCCTGCGACCGGGGACCCCCTATTGTCCCTCTTTTGTTTGTACTTTAACTTTTTAGGAAGACCTCCCATATGTTTTTTACACGAATCCAAATGGGGACCTCTCGGGAATTGGGGACCCTATTGTCCTCTGTTGTTCAACGTCCCCAATTGAATGCAGAAACAAACTCACGCACACATCGACACACAGAAGTAATACGCGATCGCAATATCCCCCCGGCTGGCTTGAAAGCCAGGGGATAAAAAGGGATGTCAAATATTTTTCATACATTTAAGAGGAGTAGAAAGTTGCACAAAATGTGTTCTTAAGAACAATTCACTTCATGGCCCTTAACTAGTAATAACAACTTTCTTTGAAAGCACTTTGAAAGCACTGATTTTTAAATTGTATTTACCATTGTTTAATTGTAGGTGTACCGCTGGACCATCAGATGCAAGTACCATCCATCCTTCCTCTGGAAACACTCCATAACCACCTGTCGCTCAAGCAGATCGACACGTTTCTGGAGAGTTTCACCCAGAACGGAGCCCGCACCCCGGAGACCTTCACGCCCCGCCAGTCCTTCAAGCTGAACACCTTCACCCCCCGTCGCGTCCTCCCAACCCCGCTGTCCTTCGGCCGGGAGTCGGACGGCTCCCTCTACAGTCGGTCCACCAGCAACCCGTCCTCCAATACCTCCAGCGCGCTGCCCTCGCCCACGGAGAGCAATTCTACCAACTTTGACTTCAGCGCCTTCGTTGATAAGGTAAAGAGGGAGAATCGGAAGAGTAGCTTCGACATGGCGAACAGTCTGGACAGCGTCACCGGGTCCCTGTGCCAGGACGGGTATGCGGCCGAGGACGAGAGCCGGTCATCCACCCCCAGGAAACCCAGAGGGGGTAGCGAGACAGGATCGCTGGATCAAGTAGAGCCCATGGATACACAGGACTCGGACGCAGCTAAGCTCGGAAAGCTTGGGAAGGGACAATTTGGTAGCTTGACTGTGGACATTGAATGCGGCGGTGAAGTTGCCGATCAGGAAATGCAGGACATTCAGACACCTACAAACTTATGAGGAACATCATTGTTGCAAATACTCTCATGAGCATATCTGTGCCTGTGGCACTTCGTCCTTCGGTAAACCTTACAAAATTATGCCGACATCAGAATAAACAGGGTGTGTTAAAAAAAGGCAATCCGAAAAATAATGGGTTGGTTTGTGAAAGTAATGAACTTGAACGCTGTCAAAGTGATGCCATCTTAAAGGGTAGTTCATTAGCTTTCTATTGATACCTTATTTGCATCTCTGAAGTCATGGATGTCTGAGCATCATTGATTTTAAAATAAAGGCCATAAAAGAATGGTGAATTGCGATGTTCAAAACTATTTGCCCATTTGAAGGAGCTTAAATTCACAAGGTTTGACAAGTCAGATAACGGGCTGCTACTTTTTGCTTCATGCCGTTCTAGACACCGTGCTACTGCAGTGTGGAACTCAATTAATTCCACTTTTTAAAATTTGGCACGGCTATAGCACGGCGTTTAGAACCATTTGGATCGGCAAATTGAATTCGGAACGGCACCCTCCTATGGTTTGTCAGGGCTGCCGCGCTACCGTCTGTCTGCACTGTCCTAAATGCCGTATCATTGCTGTGCCGAACTTGATTCAATTCGAAGTTAAGAATTTTAAGAATGCGCATGCTCACAATACCCTCTGTCACGTCCGCATCAGGGGGAGTGGAATTGGCACGAACATTTTGACCGCACTGAAAGTTCACTGAACTGCTTGAACTGCTCTAACCTAGCCCATTACTCCAGATGCATTAAGGTTCGACTATTATGTTCTGCGTTTAGAGCAACTGCAGTGCTGTAGACGAGCAATTGCCGCTTATTTCAATTAATTTCGACACGGCAGTAGCACTGCGTCTGGCAGGGGCCTTACATTCACTGAAACCAGGGTACAAAAACTTGAATTCAAGTGAAAATACTTTTAGAAACTGCTTCCTGGAGTTTGTCTTCGTGCTAGTTCTTCATACATATTCATAAATCTGACATAGCTGTGTTGTAGTGGTGTAGAGAGAAACCACTTCTGTAGCATTTATTGATGCCCAATTTGGAAGTTGTTAAACATATATCTACATAGTACAAAATGTACATGCATGGTCAAATTAACACTTTTGTTGCCTGTGTGACATTTGGTCTCCAGGGTATGTGAAGTTTATCAAATAACTATGAAAAATACTGGCCTCATTACTGTATTTGTGGTCATCTGAAAAACCATTAACCTGCACTTCTGCTATTTACGGCATAGTTCTGCTTTCTGTATAGGGCCAGTTCTGTTACTATCTACATTTGTTTGCATGCATGCATGTGGATATTGTTGGTTGCATTTGGTTTGCCTCCGTTGCTGTGATATCCAACATAAGCTACAAGTTTTTAGTAAGGAAATAAATATGTGATGCGATCAAGCTACATGAGTCGTTTGTCGGGAATTTTTATTTAGAGATACAGGCCAAAATAGGGCCACTTCATCACATCACTTCATCACATCTCTTGGTGTTCCGACTTCCATAATTTTTGAACTAAAGAGAGTATCAGCATGCGTTTTCACAGCAGTAAGGCTGAGATTGTGCTCTTTTCAAATCTGTAATAAAAATGTTTTGACCAGGGTCGACAAACGACTCAGGTAGCTTGATCGCATCACATATGTGCTGGGCCGGTTTTAAACAAGTCCTAGCTGGTTTAAATGTACTTGTTTAATACGGGCTAAGCACATGTAAATTTATTCCCATTCCTAAATACCTTTCAATCAAAAATTCATAATTTTCCCAAAGATTTTGTTTCACAATTTTACCTCATGTTTTGTGAAAAACACCCCTCCGGCCATATCTATGGTATGTGATTCACCCGCGTAGTGCAAAAATCTCCTTATTTGGAAATAGGCACACGCGCGGCGCTTACTGCGCAGAAAACAAGCGGTGTTTTACCGGCAGTTTCAAACCACCCACAGGCTCTTAACCAATAGGAATCGGTAACCTGTCTCGGGTATTTATGAATTTGATATAAGAAGGGGTGAGGTGTATTGTGTTCCAACAGCTGTTTAATTAGCAGTTGAACAAACTGTGCCATCTTTTAAACCAAAGTGTTTTCAGCATTTTTCTTAGTTCCTTTGTGCTATTTTGTGCATAGTTTCAAATATTCCATATTTATAAAGTTTGTAATCTGTATCGATATCTGTTACCAAAATTAAATGTTCCCTGTAACGTTTCCCCTCCTTATTCTGGCAAAATCCAGCCCAACTTTTGCTTGTTTTTGATGAATTTAGGACTGCAGTTAGCTCTAGGTTGCATCTACAAGACTCACTCAAAGTCAGTATTAGTTATGCACTTATTTATTGCCACAAATAACTTTAAAACAAGTTGTCAATTGTAATAACAGTTAATTGAACCTGGCTAAGTTGATCGCATTAGGCAGAACGATTGCTTATATGTCCCAAACGTTTGTAGTGCAACGCAAATCCTTTATCACCAATGGAAGGCACTATATGATAAACATACTAGAAAAGTTGTTGAATAGTAAAATATCACAATGTAATATTTTAATATTATTATAAATATATCATATAAACAAAACGGTATTTAAAAATTCATTTAAATTTACAGTTGATAGATACATTTTGATTTTTCTGAAATAGAAATTTGATATGTACAGGAGGTATGTTTGAATATAAAAAAAAGAGTTGAAAGTATGATTTTGAATGAATGCTTGTGATTGAAATTGCTTCATTCCCCTCCCAATCAGCAAAAGATATAAAGAAATTGAGCGTCATTTTGTGGATTTTAAAATGAGGAACAGAGAATAACAGTTGTTGAAAAAGTAGGTCTAAAATATATGAATTTGTTACATGTGTATATGCATGAATGCGAAACGTCTCTCTCTAATACCCAAAAGTGACAAAGATAGTTTAGTTTTTCCTGAGTTATGTTTTTCAAAATCACGAGTACTTTATCATTGCAAGGAAAAAGCCAGCACTCAGCACAATCAATGATATCATCAGCACAAGGACAGACCCAACCTTCCAGGCCGTATTCCTGATCAGCCCGACCGTGGTTAGCTCCTGCCTACCCCTCCCCCTCCAGTGGCGCAGTCCACTCCTATTGTTACCGGCCAGGGTTCGGCTGATCCACGACGTCAGAGAGGTGGGTGCTGGGTGGCCGGGCAGAGGGTAGGATTTGTTGAGGTTTTTTCTCTCGGCTTGTTTACGATGCGCTATCAGTCGGGGGAACAATTCTTCTATTGCGGTTGTCAGCTCTGCCAAGGAAAAAACACAAAATAAAATATATGTTTTCAAGAAATTTACGAAGAACTCCAATTGACCTATCGCGGAAGAATCACGTTAGAATCGCGTTAACACACCTTGTGAAATATTGTTCAATTACATAATATACAAATGGACGCGGAACGCGCAACATCTGAGACAAACAAAACTTAAGTTTAACAATTCCCTTAGGGTTGTCTAAGGGGCATGGCCAACTATGCATAGGTATTTTTTGCCATGATTTGCCACTAGTTGTATAGTGCAATGACTCTGTGTGTAACAAAAGACGTGTTTTTGAAAGAAACCAGCCCAAATTCTAGTGATAATGTAAACAAAACGAACAAAAGAGACATGAATGGAGAGACATTTTACCTTGATTAACTACACTGGAAACAATTGGTTTTTGCACACTCAACAGGGTTGAATTCATGACAACCAAAAACGGGGCTTAACTCCACCAATAAAATTGTGTTTTCCGTTATGGTGATTAGTTCATACCCAAAACTATAAACAGGGAGTCATGCCCAAGACTTTTCACAATGTGTAAGGTCCAACTCACATCGACCCAAAACGATGTAGTTTGGGACCCCCTAATTCTCATGCATTCATTAAAGGGAAAATACAACATTTGCAAACATCGAAAAATAAAACTACCAAGTTGTTACGAAATACCTTACTGGGATGTTGGTAAATGACAGTCTAAAGCATCCTGTAAAATTATGGCACCTGGTGTGAAGCCATTTTCAAGAAAATGGTATATTTGTATACATTTCCAACGCTGGTCGGTCGACCACCGTTGGAAAAACCTAACTATTTTTCAATTACTGCTCCAAATTTACCATTTTTTTTTAGTCTAAATTTTGTTTTGCTAGCTATTGGTTCCATGTTCATGAACGGGTGCAGGCCAGCTAGACTGGTTCCCTTACCTTACAATTTTCCGGTATTTTTGATCCATTTCATCTTTAGTGGAGTTAGGGAGCCAGACTACTTGAATATTTTTGTTTTTCTTGGTTTTTCCAGCATTTTCGAACATAAAACGTCAAACATGTCAGTGCAACAATATTTGATCTATTATACTAACCCCCCAAATAGTTCATTTCTGAAAATTACAGCAAAAGCCAATGATGTACATTCCCTTTAAGGCAACTTTGCCAAACTGAAATGCCCAAAAGATGCTGTCCACTTACGATCCTGGGGTGTGGCCTCCCATATGACGCGCCGGCACAGCGGGCACGGCGTGGCAACCCTGGTCTGCGCAGTGTGGGCCAGGCGACGTAGGCAAGACTCACAGAAGACGTGCTGGCAGGGCAGGCAGCGATGGGGGTTCAGGTACAGGTCCAAACACACGGGACAGGTCAGGGCCTCCCGGGTTGAGACGCTTGTCTCGGAGGTACCAAGGAGGGCCAAGATCCTTTTGGGATCGCAGTCAAGATGCTGATTGGAGGGAAAAAAACATGACACAAATCATGAAAAAGGGGGCGTCATATGAGGAAGTGTGCCATCAATTGTGAAACTTTGTTCCCGTATATTGAATATTTAAAAACCTGGTCAAACTATGAACCAGCATGCAGACTGTAGCTGAAGTGAAACCACAAAGCAGTTTTCCCTTGATATTTTGATTCCTGTTTGCAATTAAAAAGGTCAGGGGAACGTTTTTGTCTATTTTTAACTGAAAATGGAAGTACATTGTAGGTAGGGACTTGGGGCTCAGCTATGAGCCACTCCAACAGTCCACATCGATGTGCCCATTGTACACGGTCATATGGTATGCATGTATGTACGTTAAGGTAGAAAAGGAGCCATATCAGTGGTTCATATCAACTGTGCGAGCTTTGCATGCATTCACATTGTGCACAGTATTTGTACTCAGTTGACGTTTTCTATGCTCGGTTGCTCCGTCAGTCATTGACTCTGTCAGTTTGCAGGGTGGTCCAAAAACAGTGTTCCTCTTTTCAGACGCAGATTACTCAAAATGGGGGAGACATGTTGAAATTGTTTTAAGATATTCCTAAATTCCAAAATCTTGGTGGTATATGGTGAAAATGGCGTTGAAAATGAAGCTGAAAGTAAGAAATGACAGCTCTTTACAGAAAAATGGTCCAAAAAGCAGTTTGTCCACACGCGTGTATGAGATATGGACATCATTGTTGCAGTTCTTTGTGCACTCAGTGCTCTGACCATGTCTCATAGACTTGTGTGTGGCCAAACTGGTTTTTGACCAGTTTTCTGTAAATGGCCCCCATTTCTTAGTTTAGGCTTTATTTTCAAGATTGTTGTCACCATATACCACCAAAATCTGGTAGTTTAGGAATATCTTCAAGCTATTTCAACATATCTCCCCAATTTTGAGAAATATACATCTGAAAGAGTGTAATTTTTTTTCGGACCACCCTATAGAGGAATATTGGCTGCCCCTGCCGGTCCAGCAACCAGCTTAATTGCATGTGACCAGTTCTTTGCGGATTTCCATTTGGTACAAAACCTGCTTAGCGATACAAAATTCTTCCCTGTGTTCATTTCTTGGTACTACTATAAACAGTTAATTTCTACTTATGATTTCTTTGTCCAGTTTATGTGGTAAGTAGTAAGCACAGCACAGAAGGAGAAGAATTTCCTTAAAATAGTAAGCAAGGATAAAGATCTTAGCAAATATCTCCAAGCAATTTTGAGCAGCTCAATGGTTGATCACCTGTTCCTCTATGAGCAGTTCTTGTTCCTCAGTCTCCTTCTCTGCCATCCACCTCTCCCGTCGTCGTAGTTTCCTCCGGGCGCTCTTCCTCTTGTTTTTCTCCCTTCTCTGGGCTCTCTGCACGGCCCGCTGGAGGTAGGTTGACACGCCCCGACTGCTGTCATTACTACTGGTCTGGGCTGTCCACGAATCGTCTGCATGCCCCATCCCTGAGCAAGTATACAACAAAACTGATTCAGCTGGAGCACTGATGTAACGGTGCAACGCTGTCATTTTGAATGGTTTGTGATTCAGGAAAGTTGCCATCAATGGTACAAATCCTACTTTTTCTGTAGTCTTCGGACAAAATGTTGTTATATACTGGGTAAGCGATCACCTGCCACAATAGGGCACTATCACAATGAATCACTATCACCCACAACCTACTATCACAACAACGTTTTAGTAATCTTGAAAACTTTCCCCTTGAAAAATAGGGGAAACTAGTGCGCATGCGCTACTTCTGCTTAGGGTGGCATGGGTGGCTTGTGTCATAAAACGTTCACCACTCACCACAGTGGCCCTGGTTTGAATCCCGCCCGCGGACCATACATGCCATATGTGAGTAGAGTTGTGCGTTGGTTCTCTCCTGTGCCACGAGGGTTTTTCTCCGGGCCCTCCAGTTTCCTCCCTCTAGAAAAATCAAACACTTTTGATCTCAGGCTGTGCTCTGAGGTCATATATGGGTCGATGTGGCTGGCTGCCAAAGGCGTCTTTACACATGCCAGCGGCTTGACCACGTTGTAGCTGCATCCTTCGCAATTCAGCTTCTCAGTTGCGATGATTAGCTCCCAAAATATTATTATTATAAATACATGTACTGTCCATTTTCGGTCGCACACCTACTACACACAACAAAAGAGCTGCCATTAAGTTGAACAAAAGTCTGGTAACATCTTGTATGCTACTGGCTGAAATTTCGGCGTTTGGTTCGGAGTTGTTGAAAGGTGTTGAAACTACGCTGCATATACATGTAGGCAGAACAGGTGTGCATGCATGACATGACCGCTACAAAATTCCCAAGACATTGTTGTGATAGCGGTTCGTGGGTGACAGCGGTTTGTTTTGATAACGCCCTCTTTTGATTGCGTATCCAATATATGACGTCTTGACCGAAGACTACTTTTTCTGTTGTACATAATCCCTAATACTTATAGCCCTCCAGGGTATTTCGTCTAGAAACCCTGCCCAATGCAACAACATGCAACAGAAGTCAAAATGACAAGCCTGCCCAGTGAAGCAAGATCCATCAGGTCAAAACTCCCAAGTCCAAACTGCCTCAGAGTCTGTTTTTCCCAGAGTCTGTTTTTCCCAACTGCTGCGGGATACAACTGTGGCATTGTTCAATGGGACTAGCTCCCATTGTCTCAGAAATGGCAGTCTATGCATTGCTCAATGTGACAAGGTCTTCCAGACTTTAACACAGGTCGATACAATGAGTTTAATCTGGCCGGGTTAGGGTTCGGGAAAAAGTCAACTACTTCTGTTATACTGTTTAAAAGTGGCCTATAAAAAAAGCAAGTGCCTGGCAGGGCTCTATATTATCTATGCCTCATTTTGTTGGACATGGATGCATATCTGTACTTTTTCTCTCAAATTAAACTAAATCAATCATTTATTGATTTTATTCACCCATGTTTTTTTTTTATTGATTTAGGGGTGCACATATAGACCAAGATTTCCAGCTTTTGTTAAAGAATGAAACATGTACCATTGGTACTGTACCAAATTGAATTCGGGTAGATTTGCGAAGATTTTGGATTTCTTAGCAAGCAAAATTCCCTGCAAAGATTTTGAAAAGGAAAAAAAACAAAGTGACAGTTGTCATGGTTACCATCCTGATCACTATCTGTGTCCATTTCATCCTCCAGTTGATTGATGTCGTCCCGCCCACTCAAGGTCCTTTCGGAGGCCCCTCCCCTCTCTTGATCAAGGTCCAACAGGAGTTCATCAAGGACACCTTGCCACGTTTCCGGTGACAAAGCACTCACCACAGTCTGCTCTGATTGGCTGTCCGCATTTGAATACTGAGTCTTGATTGGTCGTTTTGGAGCACCCTGGACTGGTCTGGTTGGATGGCTGTTGCATAAACCCTGGTGAACCTGAGACAAAGAATTGCTCAGATTTGTCTGCAGTGACGGAGATGGCTTTGACATTGTTACATCCTCGGACTTTTCTGCTGTAATACCGGGGACTATATCTGCCTCGCGGTCATGCCAGATTGCATCATTACTGACTTCACATGATGTTCTACTATGCTTTGCTGCAGTGCTGAAACCAAATTGTATTGTCTCATCGACGGAGTTTGTGCACGAGGCACAGGGTATATTTCCAGTGTGGTCCAAATTTCCAAAGCCTGGTTCTAGCCTTGCTGGACTGTTTCCTAAGAGTTTCTCTGATGACTGTACGTCGCCCTCACACGGCAATGTTCGGCTTGCTGCCTGGTTTTCCTGAACTCTTGAAGGTTCTCCGACAGCAAAACTGTCGCAAACATTTGGCGTGCAAGGTGAATCGGAAGTTTTGGATGCCGGTTCCAAGTTTGATGCTTTCGTCGTTTCCTCGGGAGATCCTAGATTATCCATTTCAAAAGGATTGAGAGTGTCCTTATGCCCAGATTCGTTTGGGCAGAAATTGGGGTCAAAGTTAGTAGGTGTATGGGATAACTGTTTGGTATCCATCTCGTCCCTATTCAAATACCAGCATCCTACAGGCAGGGCACCATTCTGGTCTTCAAATCTGTCAGTGTTGCAAGCCACGGATTCTGCCTCCAGGCTGCTCATTTGGGAGGCTTGACCTTTGACCTGTGACTGATTCCCCCTCCTCAGGAATGCCAGCAAAGACTTGGATGTCTCACGGTCAACCCGGCTACCGTTGATCTGAACGCAGGACCAGGCCTGTCGGCGATCGGCGCAATGCCGAATGCTAGGGGTCAAGAAATCAAATGACCCCAGACGACCCCTGCACTTGGGACAGGTCAGTTTTCCCTTGGTCCACTGAGCCTGTTGTAATCAAAATACAAATAGTTCCAACAGTGAAAAAAAAAAAATAATAATATAATAATATCGGAGTCTTATATAGCGCACATATCTACTAACTATTAGGTACTCAAGGCGCTGGAGATATGTGTATTATTAAAGAAAGGTAAATAAAGTTTATGAGAAATATGAGACCCATTATTTAGCACCTTATAAGAGTTTACAAGGTACTGCGGCGCATATTGCAGCCACTGTCAGAAACACCGGGGCAAACCCTTCTCTTGGCGATAAGTTTTACTGGGTTCTTTAACGTGCATTACACAACACACGGGACCTACGGCTTTTCGTCCCATCCGAAGGACGAAGCAATAATGGTAAAGTGCCTTGCTCAAGAGCACAAGCACCATGTTCCCACGGTCAGGATTCAAACCTATGCACCACGGCACACGAGTCGAACACCGTAACCATTGGACCACAGCACTCCAAGTCAAGCCATCACAAGTAACTCGCAAAACTATCAAGTTTAAAGGTCGAGTGAAAAGCTGTTTAAATGAATTGTAACAAAGGTATGAATCCCCTCTTTAATTGCTACCCGACTCGTGACTTGACTTGTCATTTGTCTTTTGACAGACTTGTGATGGACTTGAATACAACTTTGTGCACCACAAAGTGTTTGCTTCAAACTACTCACTTGTCACTTCATGGGCGACTTTCTAAATATATTTTCCCGCAATTAATCATCTGCCTTCGTTGTTTACCATGCACACACAATTTACATTTATGGATGAGGAATGATATGGAACAAATGCAACGTGATTTATTTTGGGGAAAGAGTGAGAAATCAACAGTCAAATCAGCCAGCATTTCAGGATCCAGACTGGGACCTCGAGTGCAGAAAAATCATGCAAAACACAATCAGGCCAACTTCACTCACTTTTTAGCCTACAAAATTCCACCAAATTTTCATGAGACAAAGACAATTGGTACCGAGTATTTCACCAGCCAAGTTTGAAGTCTCAATTCAATTCTTAAAGGAGACTTTTCTTTAACATTTTGCACCCGAGAGTGAAGCCAAGTGATTTCAATTTGAAGCCTGAGACCAGACTGGTACATGTCCAACTTTTTGAAAAGATTGACCCTTCAGTAGTCTGGTGGCACTGTGGAAATGTTTCTTTTGACACAGTTGATTGATGCATTTCTATTAACAAGGAGTTGGACTGGTTGTTTCATGTGCCATTCTATTTTTTTGTGTAGCAGGTTTTTACTATCTTAAGTTTTGGGACTCTCATCAACGATATTCATCACAAAGTCTCCAGTATATTCATCACAAAGTCTCCAGTACCACCCGTTTATTTGCCGATGATTGTCTAGTGTACAGATCCATCCAGACACCAGATGACGTCCTCATGCTTCAAAAAGACCTGGATACCATGGTAAACTGGGCCGAGACTTGGGGGATGAGATTTAATCCCAAGAAATGTACAACTATGCGCATCACTAGAAATAGATCACCAGGAACTACATCTTACAACATGATGGGTGTACAGTTAGATGAAACAGACCAGTGTCAGTATTTGGGTATATTCCTCCAAAAAGACCTCCGATGGAACAAGCAAGTCCAGCATGCATCTGCCAGGGCCACAAAAATCCTGAATTTCATCAGAAGAAATTTTCATCATGCCTCATCCTCCATCAAAGAGCGGTTGTATCTTACCCTTGTTCAACCGCATCTTGACTATGCTATGGCAGCATGGGACCCTCACACTTCCAAGAACATCAAAGAACTAGAAAAAGTCCAAAAGAGAGCTGCAAGGTTTGTTTCAAACACCTATGGACGTGACACTAGCATCTCTGCTATCATGAAAGATCTGGATTGGACACCCTTGGAAGAAAGAAGAAAACAGCACCGCATCTTTTGTTTCTTTAAAATCCTGAATGGGCTAGTGGACATCGACTATACCAAATACATCACCCCAAAAACTGGAAGATCACGAAGAGGACACAACAGACAGTTCCAACTCAACCAGGCCAGGACCGACACATATGCATCTTCAGTTTTTCTAAGAACACTTAAAAATTGGAATGACCTCCCGGACTCAACGGTGGCGCTTAACAAACCAGACTCCTTCAAGAACGCACTTAGTGACAAAATCTAATCCTGACCACTCTCACTACACCACACCTCCAGTTTAAATTCCCTAGATGGAATATTTCGGAGGACCACCAACCAAGTACCAAGTAAGTATCATACACAGCATTGAAAGTCCCAAATTCTTGGACTACTCGGGTGATGTAATTTTGCACTCCCCCCCAAAAAAGAAAGAAAACATATTGTATCGGTATAAGACCTCCTCAATAGCACTCTGGATCCATGGTGGGACGGCATCGTCACTGATATACCACAGTGCACCAGCAGCTCTGGGCTGTTCTTGGCCAGGCTTTGGTGCCGTATTGCCAGGGTTACCAGGCCTGGCCGACTCCGCGTCCGCAGTAAGAGATGGGAGAATGCTGGCACTGCTGAAGAGGAATTGTCTACATCGACGACACTTGAAAGATGCCCGATCCTGATCCTGGATCTCGGAATCTGAAGCCATTTCTCAACACTTTATCCAGTGCATTGGTCAACTGTAAATGGTTTGAAAAAAAATAATGAAATTTTAGTTCACAAGTCTATTTTGTTAAGTTGGTGTAGGCCTACTCAGTGGTACAGTTTCCCATAAACACAAAATTTCAACACTAAAATGGGATTTAATAAATTTCATGTTGGAAACGTTCTCGATTTAACCCATGATCATTCTTTTTAGACTGAAGTTTGGGTGATTGTGTAGTTACAGCCCCTACCATTCTGGTCCCTAGAGTGTTTCTATCATTCCAAAATCACTTCTGCAACATTTATGACCATTTTTTTTGTAATTTTGAACAAGTATCTTTTTTTCATCATACGCGTTTTGCAGTTGATGCCTTGCATGTCAATGCAGTCAAGTTTTTCCGCATTCATGATGCGTTGCAGTGATTGTCATCTTTATTTTTATTTTCATTTTGCTTTTTTTCTCTTCATCGTAGTTTTACCCCAAAATTTCTCTCAAAATAAAAAAACAAACCTGTCCTCCAATGACATTCCTGTTGTTTTGAAATATTGCCAACTAGTTTGAGCGAGTCCAAAAACCCAGATTTCGATTTTCGTTGTGTTATAGCAATGGGGCCCGTAACTACACAATTGCCCATGTTTGCACGTTGAATACATACCTTACTTCAAGTTACTTCAAGTTCAAGTCACTTAACTCACCTTGCTTTCAAATTAATCAACTTAACTTTCGTCTAACTTTAGTTGGTTACACTAGTTAAGTTATAAGTAGGTAGCTTGGAAAGATTGATCTGGCCATCACTAATTTTTTCCTTCAGTGACCTATCAGCCATCAGAAAGTGATAATATGTCCTTAAAAAAGTCAAATTTAGCAGGGAAAAATATTGAAGTATTTACTGAGAAAATACTTAGAAATTTTCAGACCAGTCTCATAATCATTTACATTAGGACTCATTAGAGTCACTCATAGGTTTGTGTACAGGGTGACAAGTGATGGCCAGCTCATTCACGGGAATCTTTCCGGCAAGGGAAAACTACCACTTACAAATCAAATCCAGTTAGGTTTATAACATTAAGCCTTAACTGTTTTAGCCCACATGCATGTTTTCCTCACTGCGGTTTTAACTTGAGATTCTCAATTGACATTTACCGAGTAAAGGCCCAATTTTTCACCTCAAGTCGTGACACTGTGTGTGTTGGTGTAGTTCGGTGTTCATGTCTGTTTTCAAAAAGGGCGCCCTCTCATGCCAACGTGGACCAAAAACTTCGCCCATAGACTGGCTCCGCTCTGCGATGCAACAGATGCAAATTGTAATTGATGGAAAACACATTATCATCAGCAGGTACCGTACCTTGGGGAACACACCTGCGCAGCGCTGAACCTATCAAGTATCATTTATCGTACCGGCAAGATTCGGGGCTAGCTAACGGCTCGGCTCCGAAAATTGCCGTATTTTTCCATCTTTTACGAGATATTCTTAAAGGATCACGGGGTGTTTGATAGACTGTCTCGGTTTGGAGCAGATGGAACCTTCACTGGTGTAGAGAACACAGCAAATACGGTAAGTTTGCCGTTGAAAAAAAATGTAAAGGGGGTTGATCGGTCGGTACCGGACCGTCGGCCTCGCGGAGGAGTGTGAATATTTGTTCAATGAATCATGCTTGGCGTGTGGGGGAGCGCTAGGCATGGCGCTCGTGGATGATGATGCATTGGACACATGTGGTAGAGGAGGAAAAATAATGAATTGCTCACTCTGTAATATTATCTGGTATATGATCTGGGAGAAGTACAGCTTAAGATGTCAATTGACAGTGTCAATCATGTCGGTTTTTGTGTTGGTTGCGTTTTCGTTTGGAATTCATTTGGCAAGTTAAAATTAATTTAATTAGGTTTCCAAGAAGGTTTTTCACGCCCACCCCGATATTTATTTTTATGTTTTATTTGTTTTCGTAACTTTGTGTGTTTTTAGACAAATCCACATTCAGGCAACTCCTTTTTCCAACATATTATTATTATTATCATATTATTATTATTATTGAGATACAGCCAGGTTTATCTGCGCATGGCGCAGTGAGTCTGGCGAAAGAATATGCGGCATGCAATAAAATTCCCCCTCCCATCGTTTTTTTTTTTTCAATCTGAGTGATGAAAACCTAAAAATAAACTTTAACTGTCATTATTGTCTGATTAAATGTGCAGTTTTCATTTTTTCAGTCTGTGATGTCGGTATGAAAGTTTTATTAAATTATTGTTTTTATAAATTTATTGTCAATTTCAATTTCATTTTCAATGTAATAACAAATTCAGGTGCAATTAAGATGACTGTTGGTAGGTGTCAAGTATGCAAACTGAAAAACTTACACATTAAAGATGTACATGTATTTTCTCACTGTCTGTGCTCTTCAAGAAGTTTAATTTTTGATCATAATGGATGTAACCAACCTTGTATACATGTGTATTTTTAATGGAGAAAAAATGGTGTTTTCTTGTTCTATTTTGGCTGTCTGCAACCTTCTGAAAAAAGGCTTTTATTTTGGGTTGCTTTTGCACTCAACTGATTGAAAAGTAATTCCCATTACTTACATTTTTTTTTGTCTGTTAAGGGCAGGAAGCAGTCTATCCTACAAGAACTGAAAACACCGGCTGCAAAACTGTCATAAAAAGTATACAGTTTTCCAAATTAAAATTTCAGTGATGTTTTGTTGTTGGATGTTTCATTCAAAAGTGAATAACTACATGTATTGTGAGTAATAGCTTACATATAAATCAAATTAGGTTTTGCCCTTCACCAACGTTTTTTAAACCTGTATACTCAGTGTGTTACGTTAAAAACATCGGTGAAGGGCAAAACCTAATTTGATTTATATCACCCCAATGCAAAATTCCATCTTATAATAGCTTACATATAAGTTAAATGATAAAACAAATCTGTTTGTTTTTAGCTCGGACAGTAAACTGTAAAGTCCCCAGTATACTGTAAAGTCCCAATGTACTGTACCAACAAAAGAAGCTAGTGCAATTGTCACCAGACACAGCCTGATATGTATCCCCAGTAGCCCAAGATTGACATTGACTGACCATTCTTGTAATAATATCAAGTAAAGTACCGCGTACCAGTACATAAATTGGTGTTACCACTTTACGGAAAAAAATACTTTGTTCTTCAAGTACCGGTACATCCTGGAACTTGTATTAAGAAAAAGCTGAAGCAAATTTGCGATTTTTTCCAACAAGCTCACAGTATGTACCGGTACATTGCTTACAAAAATCACACGTGTATGTTGGGGAAGGGCAAACCTCATACTGTTGGGATTCTAACATTCAGCCAACTGAATATTTAGCAATTATTGACTGGTGTGATGAGGGATACATGTATAGCGTTTTGCACACCCGAGGGGCACATAGCAACACCCGAGGGGCACATAGCAACGGAGGCAAAGCCGAGGATGCTCAGCACCCCGATGGGGTTAAAAATGTCATATACCCTATATCCCACATCACAGCAGTCAACAATTGTTTTGTTTTGTCGTGCCAAAAAGTAAAAAAATAATGTAAGGCTTGTAATACTCTGCAAGAAATGAATTGAATCACCGCAGTGCAATGTAACCTTTTGATTTCTGAGGGCTTTCCTGCCAGACATACATGTAAGATTGAGAGATTGAAAGATCGGGTACCCGTAACCAACTTTACAAATTACTTAGTGACTTCTCAGACAATTATAAAGAAAGGTTTTGATTGTCATTTGTGGGGAATTTTCAGAATGAAAACCAGGCTACATGGGAAAACAAAACATATTGGGTTGGGTTTCTTTGATAACGGGTACCCGAGTATCCATGTTTTTTTCAGTCGGGTACCCGGTTCCTGTAATACCCGTAAATGCACACCCTAGACACGATAAACATGTAAAGCAATGCAATTTAACATTCAAGTGTCTGTTTCTTCTTGTGATTTCTTTTTTTTGGGGGGGTGCAACAATATGCACGTTTCTCTTTTCATTAGAAACTCCCCCCCCCCCCAAACCTTTAGGCCTTTGTACCGGTACCTACACGTAGGCCATCTTTCTTTTACAGGGAAAACCCCAATAGTTTCCTTGTACATTTGTTCAAGAACAGTAGATCTGTTGATTCACTGTACAAGAACTTCATACCGGTACAATAAACAGAATTTTGTAAAGTGATGCATAATTCTTCAATGAATCCGTACATTACCGTGAAATTTCTGCATGACTTCACATTTCATTGACTGAATCAGGACAATACAAACACGACCGGGTCAGATTGTCCAATACAGGCATAAATTCCATCAAAATACCAGTGCATTGCACATGTACTACTGGAGTCAGTGTACCGGTAGTTCCTCATCACAGGACCATTAATTTTATTAATTAAAACCCTAACTCCCCAGCCTAATTTACTAGGAACCATACCCATTCTGGCAAATTCCAACACCCACATGGGAAATTGTACACACACACTGTTGGACTTAGTTTCTGGAGGTATGCCAACCCTAGTGTAAAAGACCATCAGTTTAGGGGTACTGTACCTATCCCAACAGATTTAAACACAAACCTGCTGTTGAACTTTGATGGGTTGTGTTCAGTTAGGGTTAATGCAAAATGTTGTGTCTGCATCTTCTGTTATGCCCTACTTTTACACAGCTTTTTTTTGTGAGGAATCAAACCCCCCAATATCTACAGTTTTGCAAGAACTCAGTAGCACTTTCTTAGTACTGAAAATTTTAAGGGACTTCCAGCTCCATATTGTAAAGTAATAATGGGTGATAGGATCTCATGAAGACCCTGTGTGATGCTGGTGCCCATGCCTTCTGTCCATGCCTTCTTAGTCCACAATGGTTCACCCTAGTCCGAAATGGTCAATAATGTTCTGCTTTATTGCATGTCTGCTGGTCACAATAAAACTAAGTACTGCATCAGTGAGTATTCAATGCAAACATACATTGTATACCAGTACATGTAGCTGTTTCTGCTGTAAGAGGATTTTCAACGTTGTAAAATTTGTTTTGGTAAAGATGGGCATGTTCAGACCACCTAGAATCCAATATCCTTTCTTTTGAAAGGAATGTGCCTACGGTACATAGACATCCATTTTGTAATGTGATTGGTTATGGGAATACCGATGTCTGGAAATGGCATCAGTGGTGATCAAGGAGAGATTGCTTTTTATATGTGATTCAAATACCAGTGAGGAGAAAATGATCGGTGTTCCAAAGATGAAAGCACATTTCAGTTGTGAGATGTTGTGGAGAGAGGTTTTGCATTCAGTGTGTGAACAGTGTGTGAACAATCATTAACTCTAATCTTCCCAAATCCATCAAAATCCAATCCCCCATTTGGGGGATTTTGGTAGGCAAGCATATGAGTACCGGTACCAAGTCCATCAAAATCCACCTATAGTACATGTATGTAGCGGTGGTCTTGTGGTGGATTTCAGCAGAGTTGGTCCTAAAGCAAATGTGAAGCGCAGGGTCAGTGATGGATTTTGGCGGACTTGGTCCAGTACTTAGTAAAAGACACTAGGGAGTTAGGGTATATTTTTAGATGACGTACCGGTATGTTCATATAAGTATATTTGTAACAGTATGCAAATATGCACAAGTACAGTATATGCAGTGTATGCATACTTTTTGCCAAGTCTGTTTTTTTTCCTGGATGTCCACCAAAAGTGGAATGTACATTATTTTGTATGACAATTGTGGCATTCTTCTGATTCCCTATAGTTTCCTGCCTACACTACTACAGGAAACCATTCATCTGAGCCCTTTGCCCTATATAATGAATACACTATCCTGCAATTAGAATGGCATTTTTTTTGCCTTTATAATGTTGGAGCGACTTTTCAGGGTCGCTTGCACTGAATAAGACTGTACCAGTGTTATGTCTTATTCAGGTTTTCAAGAAGTGTTTGGAACAGAATGCAATTTAAATGTGCTGTACTTTACATGTGAATTGAAAGCGTGTGGTGTTTGAGCTGAAAAATTTACAGTCACACATCTAACCCATTACAATTTGAAACATTGAACAGTTAAAAAGTACTGATAAATGCAAAATTTTCAACTTTTTGTCACTTGGTGTTCTCAAAGCTGTTAAATTATTGCCCCCCCCCCTCCCAACTAGCTTGAAGTGGGTAATTTTGATTTTTGTGTCATAAGTGAGCATTGTTTAAGTGCAAGCACTTCGACCTAAAGAATG